GTTAAAGTGAAATAAGTCAAGTTACTGAAGTCAAAAGTGAAGTCAGTCATTAAGTCAAGCCAGCCAGTTTTTGTCAGAAGTCAGATAGTGAGAGCTGCTCCACTATATGATTACGTGTTCAAATGTTATTTGAAACGGCACGATTATTATATACACTCACATGTCTATTCTTTTTGTGAAGCTATTTCTAAGCTCTAGTAGTGTTTACGTCTATTGAGTTTATTAGGCTTTACAGATTGTTGTTAGATTAGAGTGTACTGATTTTTTTTATTTGGTTATATGTTGTAATGTTATTTTTTTTATGGGTTTTATGCCGCCAGACAAATGTTCAGCACGTATAAATTTGGGATTGAGTTTTTTTTAATGGAAGGTACCTCTGTCTGAATACTTGTCTGCGCGGGCAATAAAAAGTCCACGTAAAACCATTGCTCATGGTCTCGTAATACAATTTCAGACCCACTACGCTTATTCAGAATGAGACGAGATGAAGCAGACACTTCAAAGAATGCCGCCACCTGAAGCCCTGATTACGTTGAGTTACCTGGACAGCGAACAGCCCTGCCGAACAGCGAATTGCCCTGGTCAAGATAGCGGACACATCGCCACCGCTTCGCCCCCGCACTGGAGTTGAATAACAAGACCGCCAGCTACGTACACCTACGTCGGCACATACAAAGGGTAGACGACCCATCGTCCAAGTTCCCAGCGTCGGAACGTTACGTCGTTGTTCGCCACCGCATCAGACAGCTCCAGTTCATCGCATAACCACTCTACGTGGACGTCTCAACCAGCGTTGAGTTTGTTGCGTCATCACATTGACCAACGAAAGTTACGCCTACACCCGCCTCACGGGAACTTACGTAGACCAACGCCACAACCCACCCACCACAGATGAACGCCAATAATTACATAACACTTACACACACACACACTTACACTGCTCGCAGAGCCCGTTCAACCAGTTACACATTTCCACTACATTCACTCAAGGCCAGTACACGACAACCTAGCCAGAACTGAGTTGCACATGATTGGATTCACACATACCATGAAACATAGACATACATTATCAAGCAGAGACACCACAGACGTCAGGATACTTGCACGAGAACTAGAACAATGACATTTTTTTATTCAGGAACACAGACACAAGAATTTATGTTTTGTAAACTGTGCTGTCCCATTTTGTATTTGATTTATATGATTGATGTTAGGGATAGAATAGAGTAGTAAGATAGATAGTTGTTGATGTATTAGATTAGTAGCAGACGCTGAAAAATATAATTTGTCAGCTACAGAAAGGGAGGGAGATATGTGATGACGCAAGATTACGTCAGACATGTTTAGCAGATATAGGTTAGCAGAAACAGACGATAGGCCTAGTTGGTTGGGTAGAGAGGCCAATGGGCGCACAGGGCTGACCGGTCACGTGGGACGGTCAGCTGACCACTGAGGCGTGGGGCAGTAGAGCGATAGGCGAGGACGGTGATAGGTAGCGGTCAGAGACGGCCGAGAATGTAGATAGTTAGGAGATCATGATTAGATAGCGAAGAGTAGAGAAGGTGTTAGGTTGTAGAATGTAGATAGTGTTAGGATTGGTCGTGGGAGTTAGTAGTATAGTGAACAGTCAGTAGTAGAAGTAAATAGTACAGTGTAGATCAGTTAGGTAGAAACTTGAACATATATATCATTTTAATAAAGAACAATTATAGTTGAACTTGAACTGCGTGTTGTTGGATTCATTCGTTACCGCCTTCTTAAAACCCCCACCCTCACAAGTGGGTATTCTTTTTTCTTCCGCTTGGTAATGGTATTCAGTTTCGCCTTCTTTATATTGGGTTGGTTTTTATAGTGTAGCTTTGCCTTCAAAAAATAACTTGTCACAGAGCTGCTTTCCCTCTATAAAGTAGCTTGGTTATCGTTATAAACACAATTTTCTTAATCGGGCCTCTCGGAAGCACGTCTACTCCCCCCCCCCCCCCCCAGTGTCCTGAAAATTTAGTTCGCCCCTCCTCCCCCCCCCTCCCCTCACCACGAGAAAAATGTGTGAAAGAAACTGGTTATAAACTTCCCCTCTATAAAGTAGCGTGGTTATAGTGAAACTTTACCTGTTGTGACACTCTAAACTACCTTTTAATAATGAATAATAATGTACAATAACAAAAAAAACGAAATACTCATAATTAGATACATATATACAACACTCAAAAGAAAACAGATTAGTCTACTGATACATACATACATATAAACAGACATACAGACATACACAAGGACAATATGCAAACAAATGAAACACATACTTAAAATAACACAGACATACATAAAAACACATTCAAACATCATACACACTAAAAGCATGCATGCAAGCATACACACAGACTATAATACAACCAGCAATACATCGACCTCCCACCCCGACCCCACTCCAGTTATTAATGACAATGGTATGTACCTCAAGCGATACCCAACAAACCACGTGACAAGCTACATAATGAACACCAAACCAGTCCAGCGTGAACAATAATTAATGAACATTTGCGATAGTGTAATCATCGGCTCCGTTAGCGGATAGGAGTTTAGTGAAGTATGGTTCGCTGCTGATATGGTAGTGTTTTATGTGTGTTGGTGTTGTGTACGTGTTGGATGTTGGTTGTTGTTATGGTAGTGTTATGTGGTAGTTGCTATTGTGTTAGTTGTGTATGGTAGTTGCTGGTGTGATAGTGTTATTGAAAGTTGATGTTGTGTACGTGTTGTATGGTAGTTGCTGTAGTGTTAGTGCTATATGTTGGTTGCTGTTGTGTTAGCATCGTATGCCTGTTGCTGTTGTGTACGTATTGTATGGTAGTTGCTGTAGTGTTAGTGCTATATGTTGGTTGCTGTTGTGTTAGCATCGTATGCCTGTTGGTGTTGTGTACGTGTTGTATGGTAGTTGCTGTAGTGTTAGTGCTATATGTTGGTTGCTGTTGTGTTAGCATCGTATGCCTGTTGCTGTTGTGTACGTGTTGTATGGTAGTTGCTGTAGTGTTAGTGCTATATGTTGGTTGTTATTTTGGTAGTGTCGTAGGTGGTTACGGTCGGTGCCATTATTGCCTACAGTTAAAGCGAATTATTTTCTGTTGCGGCTAACCAACGCAAGTGAAGGGAACCAAAGAGAACCAAGAATGCCATTGAAGAAATCTGTCAAAAGTGAGATGGGAGATGTTGGAGTGACATATCAGGGTGTGAAGAAAATGTGAATCTACAGAGTACGTTGGCCAAACGTCATGTTCATCGTAAACTACACACGGAGCCTAAAGAAATCAACTTTGAAAATAGAACATATCTATATATATATAATTCTCTTCTGGGATCAGTTAGAAAACAAGCTGCAAGCGCGCCTTTGCAGTCCCCTCTCTTCCTCTCTATCACTACCACCCCCACCCCACCCCCCCCCCCCCCCCATATGATCTGGTGAGCGGTGTTCACTCTGTTTACATTTTACAATCACAGAGACGGGTTTGGTGACGGCTATTAGGGGCAGATAATTTAGTTTGAAACGATTTTAAACTTAGAGGAGGTAACTAATAGGAGGCTGCTTTCACGTGGGGGGGGGGGGGGGGGGGGGGGGCTAGTATTATTTATTTAACTTTTGTTATGGCTTTCACCGAATCGGGTACTTGCAACGTTAAGCTTTAATTAAGACAAATATAAATGGAAGCAGTAATTAAGACAACTACAAATGTAAGCAGTAATTAATACAACTATAAATGTATGCAGTAACCTCAAGTATAAATTTGTAAATCACCATGACAACCGCAGTCGACCAAGATCCGCCATAATTATTTTCTTAATTATGTTTTAATTCAACCAAGACGTTTCTATACTATAATAAAACCATACAGCAAGCAATTATTGTCTCGTTTACACAGCCATAAGCTCAACTCTGATCTAATTTTAAACATTTTTTTTCTTTTTTTATTCACTTACGTGAAATAACTATCTTAATTAAAATAAAATGCAATAGGTAGCATTTTATACGTTAACCTAATCTTTTCCAAGCAAAACTAACTTACATTTTTTTTATATATCACTAGATCTGTATCAAATCACAGCTTGCTTCGTTTTTCATCTATTTTAAACTTTATTTTTTTTAACTCACTAAAGGGAGCTGACTCGGTTATCAGGAGTTATCTTCCCTTTTTGACACCGCAACATCCGGCAGTATCCACCTCTACAGGAAGTTGATTTTTTACACACATAATGGCGGACATGCGGCAGATATTTTAATTAATTATATCTGAGCTCTCGCTTTATACACCAGAAAGGTGTCTAGACAAGGTGTTACTTCTGGTGCACAGATTAACGCGGTGGATTATTGTCACGCGGGGAGATTAAAAACAATATGTGATAGTTTAAGTTTGGGGCTTTATGATCGCAATGCCATGTCAAATGACACAGTCGACTAATGACACCTCATCAACTGACAATGTGAGATGTCAACAGCAATTATCACTGTTGTGACAAATTCGAAAATTGTCAATGTCATTTTGATTGCCGTTAGATATCCTAGCTAGTGATATTCGTGGCAAATAATAAACTATAGTAATAGCTATTTTTTTCTAGTTTTTGGCTAATTACAAAGACTACTAAAAGTAAAAGTAAGTAAAGTTCCCTTTTCAAATCTGACGGGCAAGTGATGACATTGTAGAGTTCACTTGTTTCTGTGACCTCGGCATATGAGGCCCAGCCGCCTTTACTTTCCCTAACGTGAGTCAGGTACCCATCAGAGTTGGGTGGACTCAGGGACGGTGTATTAACTTGAACTCGAGACTTACTGGTTATCAGTCCAGCTCTCTACCGCTAGACCACTCCGTCCCAACCAAACACTACTAATGGTTAATTATTCTAGTGATATTCCTGGATAATTACCAACAAAACTCTTGGTTAATTGTTTACTGTTTGTTGCTGATGGTTCTAAAGAGGCTCATAGCAGACTGCACATTTTTTCCCCAGACATTTACCTTGTGATGCCAAATAAATCATGGATGATATCAGAATCCATTTTATATCCATGACGCCATGAAAGTGTCCTGCTTGTGACGTCACACGGTCACATTTTGACAACCTGACGACAACCCACCAGTAAACAGTCCAGCCTGGAGTGCGTAAAATAAAAAATAATCAATACATTATTGCATAACAGTAAACAGAAGTTATAATCATTTTAAAGCCGACCTTAGGGGGGGGGGGGGGTGCCAAATTGAAAGTTTGAGGGGGGGTGCAAATGAAAAGTTCGAAGGGGGGGTGCAAATCGAAAGTTTGTCCACGGGCGCCGGGAAGGGTCGCTACGCCTCTGTAACATGACCTACAATAGACATTAAATATGATTAAACTCAGCTCTGTCGTGATTTAAAGAAAACACATGTTTTACTTAAATTTCTCAACTCAGGTCGAATGGTGTAGATCAGGGGTTCCCATCCCTGTGCCCGCGGGCGCCATGGCGCCCGCTGAACGATTCGTATGTGCCCGCCTCTCACTATTCGACAGAGACAGAATTTTTTTCATAACATTATTTTAAAATATGATTTATTTTTATTCATTTGTTACAGTTTTAATTTTTTTTATTTTGACTGCCTAGGTTTTATTAAATATGTTCGATACTTGTCCTAACTTGTCTAGCGGCGAGCCAGACTGCACTATTTACGTTTTGTAAATACATTTCTCTGTGTGTATGCAATTTGAAAAAAATGCCAAATTATTTTATTATTTTGAAACAATTTTGTTTATTATTTATTAATACATTATGACTATAATATAATAATATAATAAGAAAATAAGAAAATAAATTATGGGAAAATGTTAAATGACAAGTTATGGAAGGAGTCGATTTAAAATAGGTGGTGCCCGCCACCCTACCGATATTTTAGAATGTGCTCTAGAGTAGAAAAAGGTTGGGAACCCCTGGTGTAGATAATATAGTCCCAAGCTGACGCACACAAGTACTAGTGACAAAAATCAAAACAACAGTATGTTTTTTAAAGTGGTGACACCAACAGCATACATAGCATTCAGTTGTTGATGTACAGCCCACCAACACAACATAGCTATTGCTGAAGTGGTGACACCAACAGCATACATAGCATTCAGTTGTTGATGTACAGCCAACCAACACAACATAGCTATTGCCGAAGTGGTGACACCAACAGCATACATAGCATTCAGTTGTTGATGTACAGCCAACACAACAGAGCTATTGCTGAAGTGGTGACACCAATAGCATACATAGCATTCAGTTGTTGATGTACAGCCAACACAACAGAACTATTGCTGAAGTGGTGACACCAACAGCATACATAGCATTCAGTTTTTGATGTACAGCCAACACAACATAACATAGCTATTGCTGAAGTGGTGACACCAACAGAATACATAGCATTCAGTTGTTGATGTACAACCAACATAACATAGCTATTGCTGAAGTGGTGACACCAACAGAATACATAGCATTCAGTTGTTGATGTACAGCCAACCAACACAACATAGCTATTGCTGAAGTGGTGACACCAACAGAATTCCAACATATAATAGGGTACTGTCTCCAGCCAACAACACGCACTAAAGCACCGTTTCCTCTCCCAGCTCAACATAACAAAACCTCAGGCATGTCTGTCCCATTAAACTAAACTTTGGAATGTGCCAAAGTAATTTAATCTGAAACGGAATACCTGTTTAGTGAATCAGAGAACTATAACAATTGTCTCCCATGGTGATAGAGGATGGTAACTAGGGGAGATCACTCGAAATCTTTTGCCTTGCTTGCGTATTGTAAATGGGAAATTGATATCATTGAATTGGGCGACGACATGATTTGTTTATAGATTCTAATACAAAGGACAAGCCAGACTTTACTTGTAGCCTCTGCAAGATGAAGTAAATCTGATGCTTTAAACAGGTGTCAAAATACTGTTTTCTTGGGAAAATATTGGGTTGTTTTTTTTTTTTTGTGATTAGTTGTTCGAAATTTTAATTATTTTATTGTCATCGAAAGTTAAGTATTGAGATATTAATCATTGGCTTGTCTTGCTACAATCATCTACATGACAACAGTCAATGGTTGGTTGTTCTTGACTGTGCTAGTAACAGATTCCATAGTGAAGATTTTTTTTTTCATTGCTTTCATCACGGTATCAGAGAATTTACCTCTTTATTCTTGGGTAACTTATATAGCCATAAATATGACGGTCTCTGTGTATAGTGTGTATGTTTGTGTGTATGTGTGCGTGTGTGTGTACATGTGAGTATGTATGAGTGTAAGACAGAGAGATACCGATTTCAGCCGAGTCTGATTTAGACAACGAGTTAAATAAAAACTAGGATTGGCACTTTCACTTTCACTCACACACTCAGGAAAACCCTGCTACTTTGCATCTGGCTCACAACAATGACACAATGGTCACACTGTCATAGGTCTGGGCAGGAAGTGGCACAGGACACAAAACAAATTTAAAACAATGACGCATTGTTTATATTGAACAGATTAGGTAGCTGATCATCACTTTTCACATTCCACCAACACAGCACTTGCCCTATATCCTACCACAGCGTCAGAAGCACATAACAGTGAGTAGCCTACTTTCATGTTTAAATCACCTGATCAAACCTCCCGGTAGCCACCTGTACATTTTGCTACCCACCTGTACACCTTGCTACCCACCTGTACACCTTGCTACCCACCTGTACACCTTGCTACTCACCTGTACACCTTGCTACCCAACATTTAGCATACATCAATACAGATGGACCTAACATTTAGCATACATCAATACAGATGGACCTAACATCTAGCATACATAATTGCTGATGGACCTATCACCCAACATCTAGCATACATCAGTACAGATGGACCTAACATCACCCAACATCTAGCATACATCAGTACAGATGGACCTAACATCACCCAACATCTAGCATACATCAGTACAGATGGACCTAACATCACCCAACATCTAGCATACATCAGTACAGATGGACCTAACATCACCCAACATCTAGCATACATCAGTACAGATGGACCTAACATCTAGCATACATCAGTACAGATGGACCTAACATCACCCAACATCTAGCATACATCAGTACAGATGGACCTAACATCTAGCATACATCAGTACAGATGGACCTAACATCACCCAACATCTAGCATAAATCAGTGCCGATGGACCCAACATCACCCAACATCCAGCATACATCAGTGCTGATGCACCTGTTAGAAGATCCCTTCCGGCAGATTCCTCTAATCTCCTGCCAGAGTTATCGTCTGCTACACAAACTATAAATCACCCCACCTGGTTCCTGGTGGTTTTACTACATGAAAGGCCTTTGACCGCATCTACGTCATTGATAACTAGACATGCGCAGCATAGATACACGCTAGAAATTTAATCACGTGGTTTTTTAATCACGTGGTTTGATGTATGTACTCAAAGAACCGATGACAAGATGTAGAGAATAAGGCTAAATTTAGGTCAAATTGTTGGACTTAACGGGAACGTAGTAAACGAGGGCACGTGTTATCGGATGAAGGGGGAGGGGGGAGTCAATATCAATAAATCCGCAATTGACGTCATAGATGATCAGAAACGTCCCTGATAACGTCTCATCTATAAATAACTTTTTTATGTTACGTGTAGTCGATTTCCTACAATGTGTCCGGATAATATACCTTTCATAACAACAGTTTACTGCCTTTTCTCAAAACTCCTTACGCATAATTTATGCATAATTAACGAAGGTTACCACGTAAAATATTGTTTGGTATTTTTACTTGTTTGGGAATGTCGAAGGCAGATTATTACAGTAAAGCATAATGCTTTGAAGTTTAAAAACATATTACATTCTTTTAAAAATACATTTACTGACACGAAGTATGCCTATCTAACAAACTTGCCAAGAATTGCTATGCACATTTTTGTGACTTTATTTCTGTGACGTTTTTCCAGAATGGTTTGTTATTCTTTTGTGAAACTTTTTTCTGCGACTTCTTTCTTCCTGGCAAAACCTGTGAATATTTCCGTGATATTTTTCCCGTAACTTTATTCCCATGACTTTATTTTTCTGTCTGACTTTATTCCGCTCACCCCACCAACCCCCTCCCCCATCACCCTATCGACACCACAGCAGACGAGATTGATCTAGACTAACATCTGGTGGTGAGTAAAATATTTCATGCCTACAATGGCTGACCTTCGTCAAGCGCTGACCTACATCTCTAGTTTCTGATTGGATAAACAAATACCAAAGTTTGGCTGCTGGTCGGTCGCCTTAAATAGGACGGACAGGATTGGAAAATGGAGGGGGGGGGGGAAGGGGAAAGGGGGATACGTTATAGTAAACATTTACTTAGGCTACACTTAGGCTCAGTGATTTCATAATAGATATTGCATTATAAATAGTATATTTAACCATGTTTTAAGTATAAATAGTATAATAAATAATGTTTTAGTCTCTTTTGCAGAAAGTTTCTTGTATAAAAAGTATACATAGAAAGATAATAAATCCGCTAAGTTTTATCAATGTATTGGAATTCGATAAAGCTAAAGTTTTATAAATGGTTTCAATTGTTCACTTAAGACACATCAAATCAACGAATTGCAGGTCAATCAACAGAGATCGATCGATAGCGTATTGATTTATCTCCGTAACCAATCACCAGCTGTTAATATTGTCTGTCGCTCTCTGGTTCTGCAGGTGACTTGTGGCGTGGGTGGGGTGGGGGCTGGGGGGGGGGGGTCATGTACCTTAGAAATTCAAGGCTGTGTAGCCACTTATCAGTGGAGTTGTAGCCGTCTGTGTTGCTGATACACGTAAACAAAAATGTTAGCTGACGTCAGAGGCGTAGCGAGGGGGGGGGGGGGGGGCGGAGGGTGCGGACCGCACCGGGTGACACCATTTAGGGGGGTGACACCAAGGCAAAAAATAGCAAAATATATAGAGAAAAACTTGAGGGGGGTGCAAATCAAAAGTTTGAGGGGGGGTGCAAATCGAAAACTTGTGGGGGGTGCAAATCGAAAGTTTGAGGGGGAATGCAAATCGAAAACTTGAGGGGGTGCAAATCGAAAATTTGAAAGTTTGTCCCCGGGAAGGGTCGCTACGCCTC